GCATCATCCTGGAGAGACTAAAGGATGCACTGGATTCAAAACCACGACCGGAACAGGCTGGCTGGATTCAGGAAGTACAAATCATGTGCCGACCAAATTGCTACACTACACTACGCATCATCATAGAACCCAGTATAGAATGGAAGTCAACTCAACTCCACCTCAACTTCATCCAATTTGAGAAGGCCTTTGACAGCGTCGACCGAGAGGTAATTTGGAAACTGCTTCAATACTACGGAATACCACAACCTTTATCAGCCTCATTCAACAACTATATGAAGACGCGTGCCACATGCGAAGTAATTCACAATGGGAAGCTCAGTGATGCTTTTGAAGTGAATACAGGTGATAGGAGTGAAACAAGGTTGCCTACTATCCCCCATGATATTCCTGATTGTGGTCGACTGGACTGGATCATGCAGCAGACAGTGGGGAGCGAGAAGAGGGGGATACACTGGACTGCGGAAAAGAACCTAGAAGATCTGGATTTCACCGATGACTTGTGCCTGATGTCACACAAACTTGAAGATCTATAGGCGAAAACTAACAAGTTGTCAGAAGAGGCGAGGCAGCGAAGACGGGACTTCAGGTGAATATAGAGAAGACAGAGGTGATGAAGATACCGCACCAACAACTCCAACAGCAACAACAAACTCCAACCACCATCAATGGGAGAAACTTAAAGGAAGTAACCTTCTTCACCTATCTAGGCAGCACTGTTTCATCTACAGGCAACAGCACAGACGAGGATGTCAAAGTCAGAATCGGAAAAACAGCAAGACAGGCGTTCATTAGCCTGAAACTAGTGTGGAGATCTTCTGCACTCTGCATGTGGAACAAGATCCGGATTTTCAACACCAACGTGAAGTCAGTGCTTCTGTGTGGTTCAGAGACTTGCCGGCGCGTCACGAAAGGGATTCACAATAAACTACAGACATTCATCAGCAACTGCCTACGCTCGCTACTGAAGATCAGATCAGATATCCAGAAAGAATAAGCAACAAGGAACTCTGAGAACGAACCAACCAGTAACCTATCACCCAACAAATATGCACCGGAATGAAGTGGAGATGGATTGGGCACACATTGAGAAGGCCGACTGAGGACATCACGCGTCAGGCCAGGCCGTCGAGTGGAATCCGCATGGGAAGCGACGAGTTGGGTGTCCGAGGTGAGGGTGACATGGAGGAGATCGTGCGAGGAGGAAATAAGAGCTTGTGGGCTGTCGTGGAGCCAGGTTGAAAAGATTTCAGAGAACAGAGTTCACTGGAGGCGTGCTAGTGAAGCCCTATGTTCCATTAGGAACTTAAGGGACTAATACACAGTTACTTATGAGTTATTAAATGGCAGTCGGGTAAACCTATGAGTACGGTTTGAAAGCTTAATTAATAGACCGCAATATACTTGTAAGGCGAACATCATCTCATTACATACAGATGGCTGTGGGAAATAATGATAATCGTATGTGGTCTCATGAACAGTCTGTACAATCATATAACCACTAATGAAATTACTGTTGCTTTGAATAAAATAACAGTGAAATGAATTTCAAGATAATTGGTAAATAATGTGATATAAGTCATCAAAATTTATCACGGTAAGAAAGGAAGGTGTATCATTCAATGAGGTTGTAAACCTTCAGCGACTGAACTGGTTTAGACGTGCGTCGCTCAAGCCCAACCACCCTTTTAAATCTTTATGCAGTGCTGAGAGAAGTTGTAAGAACTACCAGGTTAGCCAAATAAACATACATGGCATCTGTCCAGGCAGTCTATTATTGTTGTCCTGAGCCGTATAGGGAATTGTAGACTACCTTTTTAGGGTCCCCAAGACTATCGAAACCAAGGCTTAAGGACTATTGTTGATATGACTCAAAATCGACGAATTCATTCTTTGATTTTTTCTAAATCTTGAACTTTTTCACTAACCTTCATTTTTCAACTTTTCTCCTCCAACACGTCAAAGTCTACTCTGATATCCATCTTCTTCTGTCAACTAGTTTCTGGTATGCTAATATGGAATATGACATTTTAAATCAATGCAACTGTGTGAGAGGTTCTACGTTGATTGTGTCTATCTGACGTTAAAACATTTCAGAATAAAACGGTATCAGTTTTATGGTCAATCATAATTCATTGCAATCTTTTGTACTATGTAAACAATACGCTAATGAGATTGTCTTATCTGACCTGGTTAAAAAGATAAGTATAGATCACAACAGTTTCCAAAAAACTGTCTGATAGGAAGCATGGACAGGCACGTATACCCTGAGTGGATGTTTTAGTTATATGAGTGGTAGTTGATAGATGATTGGTGTTAAAACCTCTTTCGAGTAAGATAGAACCTATTTTACTTAGATGATACACTGATTAGTGCAGAACCTGTGAAGAGATTACAAGGAAAGCGTAGTTTACAAGTCATAAGGAAAGATGAAGCAGTTCATCAATGTCTTTTAATTCTTCCGCTGAAACTAAATTGAAATAAGAACTACTTTTTATGAATTACCATAATATCGAAATCAGACGTTCCGTTTGCAAGAATTCTCGATAGGATTTGGTCAGTACTTAGGACTAGATAGCGTGAAATGGGTTACTAATTAGTAACTAATCAAAATGGTAACTAGTGTCATACTGCAAAGTACCCAGTTCTAATGGAATTTTATTGACCTAGATTGTAATGTGTATGCCAGGCTAGGTAAAAGAGTATAAATCCCATGGTAATGATGAATATTCAACTGTTTCGCGTTACCATACATGAAAGTGAGAATGGTTGAGTTATCTGGATAAAAGGACCCTTCGAACTGGAATAACATCTTGTTTGATTCTTGACTTTCAACTTTGTCATAAGGGTTCGGGAGTCTGATAAAAACGAGCAGAAATAAAATGAGTTAAAAAGCAGAAAGTGTTCGGGTGAAGTCGGTGAAAAGTAACGAATACGTTTACGGCATTAAATAGTCAACAAAAGTGCACAGTGGTTTACGAACACCTTTGACAGGTTAACAATGTACACCTACTTCCTTCACAATCATCCTTATAAATTCATGTATGTAAGTTGGTTTAGATAATTCATAAACACCCTAATCGGAAATTAAAATAAATTTTCATGCGAATTTTCTGAAAACGATCCTGTTTCATTGTTTTTAATATCATAATACCAATTTTGTGCCGTTTTACATATTTTATGAGAGCGTGTGGTCTGATTAGTTTTTCAAGGTCATCTGCAAGTTCACTATACCCTAACTATGCCACATCATCCTACAGAGACTAAAAAATGCTCTGAATTCAAAATTACGATCGAAACAGGCTGGCTGGTTTCAGGAAAAACAAATCATGTGGGGATCAAATTGCAACGATACGCTACCCATCATCAAAGAACACAGCATACAATGGCAGTCAACTCTTCACCTCAACTTTATTGATTATTGAGTAAACCAAGAAGTAATTTTACAGTTGCTTCAACAGTACGGTTCTAGTGTCATAAACATTTAACAACCTCATTGAACATCTATATTCCATATGATCCCACATGGTACATACCAAGTGATTGACAATGGAAAGCTCAGTGATGCCTTTGAAGTGAAGTGGAGACAGGAGTAAGACACGGCTGCCTACTATCATGAGTGATCTTCCTCATTGTGGTCGACTGAACCGGAACATACAACAGACAAATGTGAGGAGCAAAAAGAGGGACATACGCTGTCACGACCGATGAAAAGATCACGGAAGAAGATTTAGATTTCGCTGATGATGACTTATATCTAAAGTTGCACAAAATCGAAGATCTACAGGTAAAAACCAAAAAGTTGGCAGAAGAGGCGAGGCAGGGCAGTGAGGACGGGATTTCAGGAGGACGTGGAGAAGATAGAGTAAATGAAGATAACCAAACAACAACAACAACAACAAGCACAAATCACCATCAACAGGAGAAATCTAAAAGAAGTTATCACTTTCACCTACCAACTAGGAAGAGGAGAATCTACTCAACCATAGGCGGCACAGACACAAATGACAATGTCAAAGCCATGATCACAAAGACAGCAAGACACACCTTCCTTCATCAATCTGAAATAATCAGTGTGGAGATCTACTGCACTGCACTGCACTGCACTCCACTCCACTGCACTACACTACACTACATTGCACTACACTACACTACACTACACTACACTCAGCATAAAGCGTGAACAACATCCGCATTTTCAACACTAATGTCAGTCAAGTGAGTCAGTCAGTGCTTCCATGTGATGGTTGAGAGAGAGAATTGGTGGTGCGTTATGAGAAGCATCTCCAACAAACGACAGATATTCAACATCAACAGCTGCAGCTGCAGCCTACACTCACTCGACACTGACACTGAAAATCATATCAGAAGGCCAGAATAATGAGAATAAGCAAGGAGGAAATCTGGCTGACTGACTGGCTGGCTGGCTGGCTGGCTGGCTGGCTGGCTGGCTGGCTGGCAGGCAGGCAACGAACCAACTAAGAACCTATCAACCAACAAGTATGCAGAAGAGTGTGGAAGTGGAGATGGATTGGATTCGATTCGATTCGACATACATTGAGAAGGTGGACTGGGGAGATCACGAGCAATGCCAGGTTGTCGAGTGGAACTCAAATGGGAAACGACGAGTTGGGCGTCCGTGGCGAAGGTGACATGGAGGAGATGGTGTGAGTGAGAAACGAAAGCTTGTGGGAAGTGGTGGAGTTATGTTGGAAAGCTTGTAGAGAAGAGAGTGGAATGGCGATGTGCTAGTGAAGGCCTATATTTCACTAGGAACTCAAGGGACAAATAATAATAATACCCTAACTACAACAGTGTCGTGATTTCTAAAGAATGTGGATTCACTCTTTTCAAAAAGGCGGGTGTAGGCAGTAGTAAGAAATCCAATTTTTAAATGCATTATCTATCTTTAAGGTTAATGGTTTAATCATGGTTAAAGCTAACTTAAAAAGCAATACTATCCCATAAACTGTGTAACTGAAAAAAGTGAATAAGTTTACCATCATTATCATCGTCTTCATCAATATGATTTAATAAACCATCCATATCCGAATCCTGTGTTCTATCGATTTTTCCATCATTATCTAAATCATTGTCAATATGATCAGGAATTCCATCACAGTCTTTATCATTTGGATCGCCTAGATCAACATTCAACAAGTTAGCTTCATGTCGTGCAATATGTGCTAGAGAAGTAGAAGGGTAAGTAAATAAAGAATAAAGCGAAATAGAATTAAAATTTATTCATAAATAAAGCACTAAATGTACAATAATATACATAGATAAGCGAGTATAAAAACAAAACAATTTCCCTTTTCAATTCAAATTAAATCTAATTGGAAAAACAAATATACTGGATAAAGCAGCATAATATACAACAAAAGCATAAGCATACTCAGAGAAGAAATATAGGGATAAACATATTATTTGATTGGTAGTGTCTGACAATGGGATTCAGGATGTCCTTTCATCTTATTTTGGACTCATTAGATGAGTGTATTTGCATCCATGTGAGTGACGGTCCTGTTAATGAAACTCGATCCAGTGGAAAATAACAATCGGATGGGAAAGTATAATTATCATAAATAGATAGGGATAATTATATTTTATAAATGTTATTATGAACATTTTGTGTAGAAAGCTTTAATCGGAATGATACCTAATATTTACACTAACTGGGGAAATAATTGATGGTTTCAAGTGAAATTATTCATTTTTTTCTCATGAGTAGTAGTAGTAGACAGTTTAAGATATCACCGAAATTCGGAAATGAGATACACCACAGTATATTTCATCTAAATAATTTGGTTCCGACTAACCATGAACTTCGGTCAATATAAAGAATAGACTTTTATCCGGAATTGAAGGGCATTTTAGTAATGACCTTGAAGACGATTGGTTAAATAGATAAGAGCAAGTCTGCTGTAATTTCTATTGATAAAAGTTATACCAAAGGTTGTATTATTTGTCCTCACTAGAGAAAGCAAAACTATGTCGGGCAATCGAATAAATTTTTACCTTTTAATTGGCATTTTTCAGCTAGAAACAGAATTGTTATATTGATCGCTAACGTTCTGTATTATGCATCATCCAAAAAGTTGGACTGCGTTTCGAACATAACATCGTCAAGCAACTTCATGAAATATCTTGTTTCATACAAAATGAAAACATAAATGATCTAATCACTTTAATGCATAACGCCTCACTTATCTCAAGTCAGCTTTATTTCTCATGTAGCTTAGTAAATCTTCAGATATTTGTGTAAACAATCAATGTGATGTGAGAAACTGATTACACTCGATTCACCTAGGCTTTTTTTGTCTTCAGATATGCCGTTTAAGGTAATTCATCAATTAGATTTAGGCAACTGAATAATCTAAAACGTTATGCAGGAATTCCTGCTTCTTCAGACCAAATACTTTTACATTAATGTAGTGGAGAAAATCTTCCAATTGTTCCTCCTGTTATATCTCAAGTAATGGATGACGGAAATACCAATAATGACGATTAAATTTATGTGAATATTGTTGATTGGAGACATAGAAGTTGAGTGATCATTCCTAGGGAAGATAAACCTTAGAAAACGGTTGAGAAGGTGACATAGCTAATGAACAAATAAAGAACTTGGTAATATGAAAGAGACAAGTTAATCGAAATGAGATGAATGAACGTTTTCATGAAAATTTGTAGTTATTGAAAAGATTAAGTGAAGTAACACTGGAAATTATTAAATGTAAAGACAATAATAACAATAATGATACAAGAGTGTGAAGACTAACCTAACCAAAGGGGAAAATCACTGAGAAATTATATTTAGGCTAAAGTAAAGATAAACACTGTACACAGAGACTTTTATACTCAATAGTCAGGTTTCGGTTCCGGAATAATCAAATTCTCTACTGCTCTTAGAAGAAGAAAAAAAGCAAATGTGGAATATTTAAGTGAGTTTGATAAACCACCTTAAAATCCTTATTTAAATCAGTATATTGATAGATTCCAGTCAAGTGTTCAGAGATAGAACTTTAAACAAACTCTCTTTACCTTTATGAAACCTGACTGGAGTATCCTTTCACGTATATGTTAACAACAAGCAATCGGTCCCAAGTGTGATGCCTAGTAGGAACAAAGTCGCTCACTTGAAGGCAGGTACATCCAGCTGACGAGTCCAAAATAGTACGAAACGCTCGCCCTGGATTCCACCGTCAGCTACTATCCATCAATAAAATAAAAACTTTGCTATAAAAATTTCTGTATGAACGAATTACCCATGGTTCGGGATGTTTTCTTAATTTGTTCGGTCTTCATGATATCACCTAATAGTGTTTGTTTTATATCAAATAAATATTTAAGTTAATTTAAAGGCTGGGATTTTTTAAAAGAATGGTTGAAAAGAAACAACCAATCTAAAGAAAACCCGTTAAACCAATAGTTCATTTCATTTATCAGAGAGGGCCTACAACAATTTTACCCAAACAGAGGTTATTATTATTATTTGTCCCTTGAGTTCCTAGTGAAATATAGGCCTTCACTAGCACATCGCCATTCCACTCTCTTCTCTACAAGCTTTCCAACATAACTCCACCACTTCCCACAAGCTTTCGTTTCTCACTCACACCATCTCCTCCATGTCACCTTCGCCACGGACGCCCAACTCGTCGTTTCCCATTTGAGTTCCACTCGACAACCTGGCATTGCTCGTGATCTCCCCAGTCCACCTTCTCAATGTATGTCGAATCGAATCGAATCCAATCCATCTCCACTTCCACACTCTTCTGCATACTTGTTGGTTGATAGGTTCTTAGTTGGTTCGTTGCCTGCCTGCCTGCCAGCCAGCCAGCCAGCCAGTCAGTCAGCCAGATTTCCTCCTTGCTTATTCTCATTATTCTGGCCTTCTGATATGATTTTCAGTGTCAGTGTCGAGTGAGTGTAGGCTGCAGCTGCAGCTGCAGCTGTTGATGTTGAATGTCTGTCGTTTGTTGGAGATGCTTCTCATAACGCACCACCAATTCTCTCTCTCAACCATCACATGGAAGCACTGACTGACTCACTTGACTGACATTAGTGTTGAAAATGCGGATGTTGTTCACGCTTTATGCTGAGTGTAGTGTAGTGTAGTGTAGTGTAGTGCAATGGAGTGGAGTGGAGTGCAGTGTAGTGCAGTAGATCTCCACACTGATTATTTCAGATTGATGAAGGAAGGTGTGTCTTGCTGTCTTTGTGATCATGGCTTTGACATTGTCATTTGTGTCTGTGCCGCCTATGGTTGAGTAGATTCTCCTCTTCCTAGTTGGTAGGTGAAAGTGATAACTTCTTTTAGATTTCTCCTGTTGATGGTGATTTGTGCTTGTTGTTGTTGTTGTTGTTGTTTGGTTATCTTCATCACCTCTGTCTTCTCCACGTCCTCCTGAAATCTTGTGTGCATCTACTGTTACCTCTTTGTGGCGACGTTGAATGGTGCTCTGGAGACGTTTTTGAGAGAACCCGCATCTATAGCCCTGTGTTTATGGCTCCACTGGAGCAGGTGAACTGATATACATCCATAGAGGTAAGCATATATAACTAACTGCTTTACAGATAAAACAAAATTTACATTCTCGCCAAAAAATTGTATATAAATTCGATTGTTCAGCTAATCGAATCAATTCGCTGAAAAGGAGTCTCTTCGTTGAACTACTTTTTTTCTTTCTCGCATAAACCGTTACGAGCACATTAATTATAAATAAATTTCTAACATCGATACGACAGATAACTACTTTATGATTCCAGTAATTTTGGGAGGAGGGGAATCGATCAGTATCATACGGGTTTTTATAATAAAGTGTTACGCACTTCAGAAGAAGTGACTTTAGAACCAAGAGAGATATTTTTAGAAGGGCTTTCTTTGGTTCCCTTCTATTTTAACTGAAACTAGTTTTTAGTCGAAAAAAATGTCTTCATTAATATCTTTAAAATAACCACTTTCTCAAATTTATCTCTAAAATAAAAGTACAAACAAGAAACTTTCAGGTTTATTGTCTACACACCTTTGAAAGTTATTTTTACTTATTAAAGAGATGATAATTAGCTCCTTTAGTTTCTTGAAAAACGAAGCTCAAGTAAGACAGTGTTCAATGTTTTAATAAGTTCTACTTGAAATATTGATTCTGGATCAAAAGACCATCATTGACAATGAGATTACGATCAAACTAACAAAACCACACATACACACACATACATGGAAAACTACTTTAAATGGTTAACTTCCTCAAGGAAAAAAAATACATGCACAAAATAAGCTCATGCTAGGAATATGTTTATGTGTACTAAATTCACATACACACACTCTAAAAGGGCTACTTGAAAAAACATTTATCACCCTTTAAACTGTTTAAATTAAACGTTTGTCAAGTTGAATCATTATCTCAGAGTTTAAGACTGTTGTCATTGTTGTAATCATGAAATTTGAACTGCATGCACAGTTGAAAGAATTTGATAATTAGCTTCCTAAGTAAATGATAGAATGACAATTCTGTGATTGACATTGATATATAATAAGATAAGGAGTACTACTTATGTGGGGTAAATCAGGACGCTACAACTATCAGCAGCTTCTTGAGGGATATGAAAGGTTTTCAACTCAAGAGAGTATTTGATTTTTTAAAAAGTACTATCTTTATTTGAGTCAGAATTATAACTTTTCAAGACTTTAACAAGTAAATAATTAAGAAGTGAAAATAATGTTTTTTTTTACTTATCTGTATCTTTTTTCCAATCAACAGTGGGTTAACAAAAGATATCTGGAACATTGATCCGAAGTATTTAAAGATTAGAGTACCATTACTGAAAAAGCTTTATATCTGTACTTTGTGATTACTGACACTTTTCAGCAAGGTATATCTTCAACTACGAAGTGACTTTTACCCGTTGTAAGACCCTCAAATATTCATTCCTTTTTAGTTTTTCGGCTAAGTCTATTACCACTGAACCATTCCTTTTAGTTTATTCAACTTAATATGCTTGGTTGGTAGTAAAACAATGAATCAGATAATGTTTACTTATCACCTCGAAATTCAATTATCGATAAGAAATAAGAATAGGACTTATGTTGTCCGACAACCCTATAGAACAGTAGGGTTAAGTTTGATTAAAAACCTTCACAAAGAAATCTGTTGGCTACCATGTTTTAATTCAGGTGGTTTTGAAGTCTAGTATGTCTTCATTTTCTCTTCACTGTGTCAGTTTGCATTCACGTCCCATTATAGTCTCTTCTCTTAAAAAGACATCAAACAGGAAGATACAACTCAGATATCTTTTACAAGATGAAAACCACAAATATGTGTGTTTAAGGACTCCAAGAACAATGTTTATCAACCAGTTATAGTTCTGATTCAGAGTTTCAGTGTGTGAATGTTTAAATCTGTAACAAACCGAGGCTCAGAGTAGTTGGATTGCTGATGATACCTAACTCCGCACTGAAATATTTATCGGGAGAACTCTGTTCCCTACTGGAGATATCTCATTCTGGATGTAACTGCATATAATAATTGTCTAGCGTGCTGCACCACTGATATTCAACAGCTTTAATCAAACATTAAGGCTTTGAGAACACTGAATAATCGTTATCCCCAAGCTGAGGTGTAAATCTTCTTCAATATACTCGGACACATCCTTGTTTCCAGAATAAAGGGATGGTTGATAACTAAAGTCTCAGTGGGAAGTTTAATACCTAAGAACACATCCAGATGGAGGAGAATAATCGTTCAAGTTGAAGTCAAACCTCAGTCACGAAAGAATTCAAACCAATGACTTACAAAGATAGATGTCCTTTATTTAACCTGAACGTGTTTGGCTACTTATAACTAGTAAACATTCAGTACAAAATAGTTCAAATCTCGAACAAAACAGGACTAGCTTCTCATATTGTAAATACTGCTGCACACTAGTCGTAACCACAAATCTACGTTTTACTCATGCATATTGAAACTTTAAGCAAGCATAATATGATCAAAGAATTTAATCTGTGGACATAAACTGAAAATAAAATTTATCAGTTGTACAAAAACTAATCATCACTAAGCAATTGACAAATAGTGCCTGTGATCACCATTTTCATATTGCACATCGTTAGATGCTTCAAAATCAGTAAATCCATGTGGAAATTTTTTCACATAGGTTGGCATGTAAACGTGAACTTTGCGTAGACGATCATCTAAATGTTTTATCAGTATAAGTGGATAAGTGGATAAAACGAGGAGAAACAGTAGTAATTATTAATAAGTTTTGAAAATAAAGAGTATCCTTATCTTGTGTATAAAATTTATGTGTTTGAAAATTTTTAAGAGACTTTATTACGCATGAATCGTTTTTCAACTCTCTTCGCTACAAACTGTCTTTATTATTGTTTCGATGAGGTTGTATTGCATACTAAGATTCTTGAATTCATTGTCAGGTGTTGGATTAGACACTTCTCTTTAGGTAATCAAACATAATACGATTGAAGTGAGGAAGCAAATTCCTCTCTATCAGTGTTATGCATCATTGAATCATTCGAGTTTGAATGGGAGCTAAATTTTTCTGGTAGCCTTTCAAACACTTCTTTTTGCAGATGTACAATATGTAGAACGTTAACTAGTTTACAGTGTGTTATTTTCTAACCATTATCTTATTTTAGACGTAGTATTCATCGTGGACTGACATCAGTTAGGGAAGTTATGTCATTTGTGTCATTAGACGTTTGATGACGATGAAGTGAGTGATGAAACCACAGAGTTATTTGGACTTCATCTATATATATGAGAAATAATATTGCTGGTTGTAACTGTAGTTTAAAGCTGTGCGAATTCGAATGTCTAATCAGTTAATAGTCAACCCAAACTATCAAAATTACTGCTTATCGTTTTCTTTTAATCGATAGAGCTTGATTGTTACTGAGGTTTGCAGCATCACCTAGGTCATCGTTTGTAGGTCAAGTTATCTATAATCGAGTCGCATAGAGTACCTAGACGTCAAAGCTTTATACAGCTAGTGCTTTGTTATTCTGATTTTCTGGATACGTATCTTTTCAATGGCAAACTCCTCCAGCGAATCACAAGCTACTTGTATGTCTAAACAAATGTCATCCTTCAATCGTACTACTAACGAGTAGTGTAAAAATGTTCTTAAAATAATCAGGCATTAGATTTGAAGTGGTCTGTATTTATTTATTAAGGTGGATGTCTAAAAATCTACTTAACATATTTTTAAAGTCTAACTTCACAAAGAGATGAGTTGGGCTCGTTCTTAATATGGATTCAGAGAAATGGTTTCTTTGGGATTGGATTTTATGCCACACCAAATGAAGAAGATAGATATCTGTCTGGTTATTCGTGTTGCTGATAAAAGTATGACCCCACCAACCTATAATTCACATGAATAGGTTAAACCAATTCTTATGATATCAAAAATGTATCAGAACACTGATACATAAGTGGTTTCGTAATCTTGGGTGAATTATTTGGTACACACTGTTTCTCATAGTATCCGTTTTTGGCATGCACTATCCCGTGTAAATGACTGCAAACTGTCTACTTTAACCATCATAGTGAGTATGGCGTTGAAAAGCTTGTAAGGATTTCATTCAGCAACTTACCGCCTCATCATTAAAGTGTACTATTATGAACATGATGTCGTGTCGATGGATTAAGAGTCTTTTATTAGTTTGAAGTATATTCAAGACATAAGTTGTAACACTTCTCTGCGTTCAAGTGTCCAGCTAACAACGAGACGTTTTATTACATTTGGTTCCATTTGGAAAGATTTGCTGTTAAGAAAATTCCAACTGATGAATACTGCTGAGGATTCTACGGAATTATCCAGTGAGTTCATATTTTATATGTCTTTTTTTAACTGATGACACCAATTTGCTGACGAAAATTATAACTATGAAAAGACTCTTTAGCCTAGTCTATAAGTGGTCACATCTGTTCATGACTACCTAATCAGTCAGCATACTTGCGGTGTGTGTTCGGTATACACTGCTTCAAAATAGTGAATTGGTGTCAACTTTTCGGTAAAAGCTTCAGTGATACTGACAAAAACTTCTAAAATGTGTTAAGAAAATACCTAGTGGTTCGTTTTTTCGTTTCAAAAAGCAGACTAAAATAGAATTGCTAATTCACGCTTGAATGTAGTATTCATCACGGAACACTTAAAAGCCTGGGGGGTACTTGACTACTGTTTAGTCTTGGTGCGGGACTCATCAGCAGTGCACAGCTTCCAACCCACCAGGGTTCGAAATCAGAACCATCTGGTCTCACACAGAGCACGTTGACTATTCTACCAATGGGTCGGAATCCACTAGTTCACATCTTCTATTTCCATCAATTCATGATATAGCACAACTGTGGTCAAATGTTACCACTGAGTGCTTGTCTTCATGTCCAACCTGGTTCACCACTTGGGGTTTTGACCCACTGGCCGAGTTGTTAATGTGCTTGCTGCGAGACCTGACGATTCTGGGTTCAGTCTCTGACAAGCGTATGGGTGCGCACTGCTGAGGAATCCCGTACTAGGACAAAAGAGATGTTCAGTGTCCTCAAGTTATGAATGGTTCTCTAACTATTGACGTTTTGTGGCGAATATCACCCCGAAATCAATTAGTCAATCAATCGATACAAAACTGCAAACTGAAATTCAAGTTGCGTTGTGTTTTTTGTCATTACCTGGAACAGCTTCAAGGAAACGTTTATGCTTATACAGTAAAAATGACATTGAATCAGGATCTTTTTGATCTGGTATACCATCATTATCGTCGTCTTCATCCAAATGATCTGGAATACCATCACCATCACTATCATGTGGTTGACAGTCAATAATTCCATCACCGTTTGAATCTTCATCATCGATATCTGTGAAATGAATTCAAAAGATCAACGTATTAGCAGTGAAATTTACAGGATCATTATCAACTGTTTAACGAAAGAGTTGTCTTAAACGCAGACACCTTCAGATCTAATTTTTTAAGTGTATGTCGGAGGGATAGATGGCTTCATGAATGAACTGTAATGAAAAGTGTGTGGATCTGTTGGTAGTTGACTGGTTACAATTGCATTCTAACTAGCAGGTTAAAAGTTTAAACCCCACTTCACCTTCTAAGGTTAGCCATCCATGTGTTAACCTAGTATGCCAGCTTGTATGCAGCTGTCAAGTCATCCTTTTATAGGTAACATTATTCGAATGACTTTCAAAAACATGTACTCATCGCATTGCTGATTGGCTGACCCAAGGTCATTCCAAGAGATGTCACGGCTTCAAACTTAGGTGAAACATTCAAAAAAAGTTGACTAATGAACAATAAATACTTTTGTTTAAACTGATTATTTTGTTTGAAATTTAAGCATCACTAACCTGGAATACCATCATTATCATCGTCATCATCCCATTCATTCAAAATTCCGTCATTATCACTATCCTATTAAGCGAAAATGAAGCGAAATGTTAATTACACTTTGAAAGACATGAAACTGAGTAGAAATGAAATAAAACTTGATATTCTTTTCTCAAATATTTGATTACATTAGGGCCAACTTTCACGACGAGTTAACGAGAATTTATGTAATCCTATAAAGAAGCCTACATTCATGCAAACGCTTCATTTTGTTTCAAATCTTTTTGAGAGTATAAACTGCCATTTATTTTCATAACAGGGTCAAATCAAAGCTTCAAACAATTCATCCTATTTATAAACTTGAACCAAACAATTATTATAGTGGGATAATATGAGCTCATTTTTATTGTCAATTATAGGATTCTACGCAGCTGCTTACAGTCTATATAATATCGAAATGCACACATAATAATAATAACAATAATAATAATAATAATAATAATAATAATAATAGCACAAAAATCTGCAACTCAAGCTTAGTATCTGACGGATAGAAATATAATGTACTTTTGTGCACTGAGCAGCCCGCTTCCATACAACGTAATATTTTTTCTCTGCTTTGTTAATGACCCGAGAAACGGAGAGTTGAAAACAGTTTAAAAATGTTCAGGGATACATTATGCTTTCAAGAGACATATTTAAAAGATTAAAACAAACTGAAAGGAAAGAATTTGATATAAAATGTTCGGTCAATAATTTTGGTAGCCCAAGATTCAAACAGGCCGCCGTCGAGAACAAGAATTGAACATACACTTATCAAGTTGACAGGAAGTTTTTGAAATGATCAAATAGTAGTATGTGTAGTGAAAATAATTAAATCAGGAGAGATAGTTAGGAATATGGGAGGACTACTGTTTGTGATTGTTCTTAAAGGAGAAGGTTAAAATGTTAATGAAAACTGATTACCGTAGACTGTATAACTTCAAATTGTTTCGAATTTACAAGAGCTTGAAAAGTAAAGTGAGAAGAGTTTAGATGAAAAACTAAGGTTTTAAAAGGGATGAAATGTGCAAGATGAAATGATGTAACAAAATATGCAGAATAAAGTGTCGTCCAAAGTGATCAGTTGGCGGAGAAACTCAAACCTATTACATTTTGCCGATGCGATGCGATAGCCATCAAGAGGCTCAAACCCAACCCATGTATTTCAAAAGATACAGTTGTTAATCCCTCACTTTAGTGGAAATTTGTTCACAATAAAATGTATGGAAACATTTTTACACCACCTTATCCTGACAGTTTTGTTGCGTCATTCTGCCTTGTTTATTCTTTTCTGTTTCAAACCTTAATATGCTACATGAAATCAGATCATTGTCAGGCGCTTTTAACTTCAAAACATTTTGAAGTTATGCAGTCGGGGCCTCCGCATGGGATCCGGTCTGCTAGTAGAGGTCGATCAATTCGATCTAGTATAACAACGGAAAATTGCAAGCATCGGTAAAAAACAACTGATACCCATTGTACAAGTGGTGACTGTTGTGTCTCAGTGACCCAGTGGATAACACTTAGCGGTTTGAAGCGATGGGTGCTGAGTCCAAGTCCCAGTGGAGACATCGCTCACTAGGATGCAGGTGAACCCAGATGACGAGTCTCAAAGTAGGCGGAATGCGCATTCTCGATCCCACTGGTGATCAAATAGACTACACTGACGCATTTCGTGGTAACTAGTTTCCGTTAACCTCTTAACCTTCTCCATAAATAGTCTCCTAATCATCTCATAAACAGTCAATCTTCCACTCATATTCCTCAAGATCTCTTACATTCTATTTATTTACATTATGCTTATTACTGGTTGATTGTACCAGTAACTTCTGACCAACCTGATAAAAGTATGTTCAGTTCTTGTATTCATGTATGTTGTAATATTATTTAGGCTGTAAGCAGATGAGAATGAGTTAAATGACTTTAATTTTCTCGTGTAACAATTTAATCTTAAATCTGTTAATCCGAATCCAGTGATTAGCATTTCTAAACCTCAGTCAGTTCTTTATATGGACTGTGATCAAGATTTAATGAAATGGTACCCCAAATATTGGGCGCCGAGTAAAAGGTTGATATTAGATCTAGTTTATACCGGAAAATTTTCACCAAATATATTTCATTAAATTAATCCCTTTTCAATTTGTTTTAATTTTATACTTGTCTTTCAAACGTGTCACGTACTCTCGCGCACTTTTAAAATGATTTCAAACTACCACTTTTCAAGCTAACAATATGACAAGGAAATAAAAGTTACATAGGTAAGAGATGGGCTTATAAGTGTACGGAAATACAGTACATTACTATTCCTTGAATAATTATATCGAATTGCAGACTTCGTTACTGGCCGAATAAACTACCCCACCAAAATTATGCTCAATTTTCTATTCATTCACCAAATGCTAATATAATACCAGCTGCCGTTTCACATTGTGGCTTTTATTGTTGTTATTATTAACATTATTCAAATCCAATGATTATTTCGCTGAAAGATATTGTCCATGAAACGAATTTGTTGAACTATTTTATGCTGAGAATTCCATACTGTATCACACATGTTGTTTGGAATAAAGCTATTTATTATTTCTATCTAAGCTGAGGTGTTTTTATACAGAAGTAGCGAGGACGGACTGTAGGGAGACAGATGTTTGAAATATGTGTGGGTAGTTACTGTATTGAAAGGTTAATAAAGAAGAAAATGGAAAAGTAACGTTTAAACATTAGATCTTGTCTTTCATTTCTGTATTGCTGAAGTTTTGATAGCAAAAAATAATTATACTCTTCTTTATTTCTGAAGGTCCTGGTGTGTTGCTTAGACCAGGATAAAATGACTTTCTCGAACTGTGGGATCGATACTAAACAAAGCTTATAAAGTGAACGACTGATTTGTATCCATTTGTAATCAACTACTCTGGAAAATATCAACTCTCAAAAATCTGTACCTTTGCATCATATATCAATGAAGCAAGTAAAGGGATGCATAAAGGAAGTGGCCAGTACTTGGAGCTTGTATTCTTTGCAGATGCTCACAATACTTTATGAATATTAAGGTGATTTGTAGACTATCTGCAAGTATTGGCTATTTATGTGAATGATTCGCAAAAAAGGAGCTGTTCACTGAAGTCGGATGAATAATTTGCAAATTGTTTATGAAGTGTGCAGTCCACAGCTGAGTATTTTCTCAACTTCTTGACTTTGGTATCAACAACGCTTCAGTTGGAGACAACCAAACCAAAATCATAAAGCGTGACCTCTGTCACGTCATAATATGACGAAATTTACCACTGAATAAAATGTGCAGTTAAGAACCACTCACTTTTATCTGTATATTTTAGGCAATCTGAAGAGTTTGGATTTGTAAAGATAATTTATCCGCGTACACTGCCAACCAGTTCAGCTTCAAATGATGGGAGTAACTACCTGGTTTTCTAATTAATAATATTTTTCAGTAGTATATTTTGTTTCTTATTGAAGCATTTGATTGAGATTTTTGCCTTCATTTTAAAATATGAATCACTGGTTAGTGTGTTGGCTTTCCCGTTCATATAAATTGGCCAGGTTATTTAAATGTATTTCAAAATAACTGAGCTGCTGGATTGTAGGTAGACGTTCAGGGAAAAATGAATGAATTAAGTTCGCCTCAATATTACCGTTGTGATTTGTTGAATAAGTCATTATGACTACTATCCATTATGTTAATCTACTTCCATCATTTTTATAATAACCAATTTCAGTTCTCTTTTGAGGTTTAAGAAAAGACAGGTCTTATTCATTCAATTTCCTAGTTTTCATCATATTTCATACGTTATCTATTGTATTGTGTGGTTGTATGGAATTTATCCACAGGAATAATTTCCACAATATATTCATGCTACTGAATATGTCAGTAGTTCAAATGGACTATAACATTTTACACCGAGTTAGAATCTTAACATTATAAGGAAGATATTTTATAAACATACAGTAGTTGACGGTATTCTATGTGCAGCATTTATATTTTCAAGAAAATTTGATTCTAAATTTATTTTAAATGTCATACATGTCTATCTTGCACCCATGCCATGCAATGATTGTTTGAAAATAATAACAAAATGTGTATGTACTTAAAAACAAACGTTTAAGATATCAGAGAATGTAGTCTCATATAAAACAACCCTTTTCAACTGCCGAATATCTTTATATAAATGAATCAATCAGTCGTTGAAGTTGTATGCATCCGTTGAAGAAGAGAAAAATAATGTACAATAACAAGGATGCATTTGTACTTAATGGTTAGCACCAATTACTTTTTTTGTGAAAATGAATTCATATAGATAACTGTGCGTAAAAAATAGCCCTTTTCAGTTTACAATTCGTATGAAGATTAATAGTAGTTCATTTGGAGTATGTATAAAAAAATGAATAGACAGTTTTATATACCAGATTTTTCTCTACTGATATTCAGACAAATGGTATTAGAAGAAAGGAATTTTTAAGATAATCTTAAAAAGATGTTGATTGATAGAAGATGCTTTGTTACAGTAGATTCATTAGCTAAGCATACTTTCATGAAAAAAGGTGTATGGTGTATATATTGTCAGGGGGGTAACTGATTTTAACTACTCGCAGTAAGTGGATTTGCCAATCAACATTAACGGGAGAAACCTAAAGGAAGTTGTCTCTTTCACCTACCTCTATACCTAGCAGCATCCTCTCAACTACAGGCGGCACACACAAGGATGTCAAAGACAGTCAGGATCGGAAAGACAGCAAGAAAGGCCTACCTTCATTAATCCGAAATAATCAGCGTGGAGATCTACTCCACTCCACTCCACTCCACTCCACTCCACTCTACTCCACTCAGCATAAAGCGTGAGCAAGATCCGGATTCCCAACACCAACATCAGTCAAGTCAGTGCTTCTTTGTGATGGTTCAGAAACTTGGCGCATCACGTAAAGCATTCCCAACAACATTTCCAACAGACATGCATCGTCAACAGCTGCCACCTACGCTCACTCCATACTGACACTGAATATCAGATCAGGTGTCCAGAATAATAAGAATAAGCAAGGAGGAACTCTGGCTGGTTGACAATCATCCAACCATGAACCTATCACCTAACGTGTATGCAGAAGAGTGTGGAAGTGGAGATGGATTGGATTGGGCAAACACTGAGAAGACCTATTGGAGACATCACGCGTGAGGTTAGACCAAGCCATCGAGTGGAATTCAAATGGGGAGCGACGAGTTGGATATCCGAGGTGAGGGTGACATGGGGAGATCATGTGAGGAAGAAATGAAAGCTTGTGTACAGTGGTGGAACGAGGTTGGAAAGAGTGCAGAGAAGACAGTGGAATGGAGGTGTGCTACTGAATTCCTATGTCCGAATAGGAACCCAAGTGAAAATAATATTATAATATTAGTAAGTGGATTTGGTTATATGCCATAACTCAGTAGTCGAAATTTGAACATGCATAGCAGTGAATTACAATGGTAATCAACGAAAAGACACCAGATGAACTCTTACTGTCAGTGAGATTGAAAGTTGCATTATTCAGCTTTTAAGTAAGAGACTGATGATAAGTTTGATGACTTATTATTCCACTCTTCGATTATAAGAAAGAAAGTCAGTCCATAAAGAATTCCTTCCTTATTCACATCGGCGTGATGATAATGTTTTCATGTTATTTGTGTAAAATTATTGAACAGAAAAACTATGGTACAACTTATGAGAAATATGATGAGTTTTTATTTTGCAAAATGTCTGCGCTAACAAGATATTTTCTATGTGCACACTTCTTGTTTCCCCGTTTTTCTAGTCAAATAAATCACCCTCTGTTTGTTTTTTAACTGAATGTACTAATGTGGTGTATTATTATTTCAGCAATGAAATTATATTGTAGCTAGAACATCTCGTAAATTTACCCAAGAATAACCAGTAGTTAACATTTATCTCCATTTTTGGTCAACAAAATGATTTTAGTAGTAACTCTGTCACCATTATTTACTGATGCACTGAAAGAAAATCAATATGTTAAATTATCAACTACTAATGTAGACATCTGTGGATTTCAAAATTCTGATTTAAGTTGTTGTATGTTTCGCATAATCTTACTGAACAGCCAGATGCTTCAGTCGGTGAATCAGAGGAGATCAACTAATCATTTTTCTACCTTATTTTTATGTTCATGGAAGTTATATGCATATAATGCATTTTCTCTCACTAAAACTCAACAGTCCTCTGAAATATTCTCAGATGAATTACGTGTATGACATTGGTGAGAAACGCTTTTAGTCAGCAGATAATCTAAATACTTAATTGCATTCCGTCTTAATCCCTTCAGAAGTTTCAGTAAGAATATAGTTAATTTGGAGTCAACAGTATAAATATGATACCATTTTATCCAACTTTACATATACTTATGCAGATAATGTACTGAAAGTTGTATAAACAAGAAGTTTTTCTTTTTACAGTCACTTACTACACTAGCAACACGAGATAAAAGTGATAAAACTATAGCCAAGTTATAACTGAATAACTTTGTTCAGATTTCATCAAGTGTTTTCACTGATAAGGAGTCGAATTCCGATTACATCATTAGCTTTCAGTGTACATGCACAACAAAGTTAATACGACATTTTGGTTTATAATGGCGAATAAATAGTTTCATTAGTCTAGCATGTCGACATTCACCACCAAATTTCTTTAACCAGATTAAGGTGATGTTGAAACCGGAAAGTATTACTTATTCTCTAAGTTATCATCTGTTTAAACCAACGACAGAGATAGACCCACTATGTACATGAGCTTAGTCAAGTTTAACGACGAATGTTTACTTTCTGTTTTGTAAGGATCAATCAGTTGTAGACAATATTGATGTGATTATTCTTGTGGCTTAGTGTTCTAGTGCATAAGGCTTCAGCGTTTGAAGCGATGGGTAAACAGTTCCAGTCTCAGTGTATGAAAACACCAAGTTGATGGGTCTCAAAAACGACGAAACGGTTGTTCTGACTCCACTTCTGGGCACCATTAAGTAAGTTATAATATTACTGACGTCTATATGGTTGGCGGTAAAATTATTAACTTGTCGGTGAGGTTCAGTGGAAAGTACACAGTATCTTGTTTTACATGACAAAACACTAGTAACTTTCTAACTCAACATAAACTATAACATTCAACTTGCCTGTTTTGTATCAAAATAACCATCATTATCATCATCTGGATCAATAATATCTGGAATACCATCACAATCATGATCTTGTCTATGATCAGGAATCCCGTCATTGTTCATGTCATCATCCACACTATCTGGAACACCATCTTTATCAACATCTTGGAATAAATCATCTGATCCATCTCCATCTGAATCAAAATCTATGCTATCTGGAATGCCATCATTATCATCATCCTTGTCTAGTGTATCAGGAATGCCATCCTGCATATAAATCATGAGAATAAATTAATAAACATTTCAAGATCTGGCTACTGTAATAGTTTTAAGTAAGCAAAAGTAAAAAAAGAAAATATTTTTAACACAAGTTGATATTTTCATCGTACTATGGATTGTGAACAGTATGCAGTTTACTAAACGCTGTACACTAACGGATACTAAAACTTTATGTACTGTTCTCGACTAGAATGGAGCTTACACCACTTCCTACTAGTGTCACCAGTCGCTTAAACAATGGTGGATAAAATGTATTCGAATTGAAATGTGCATTGGTCGACAGGACAGTATGTCACATTACATACTGCCAGTATTCTAACAAATGTTTTTATACGCCTATCATTAAATTATAGTTATGCTGAGAACTGTTGTCTTAACTTGTCACATTATGGACTGTTATTAACCCTCTAGCTTTCATGTTCTTGAATAGATAAAGAAGACTTCTACATCAAAGAAACAGTTTAAGTAAATTTATTTTTTCTCAGTTGGATAACATCGTAAACGGTTACTGAGAAGATTTTTAGGTGCCATATTATCAACAGAATCCCTAAAAATCTTTATCGTCAACACTGTTTTCCCGACCACCCAAATTTTTAACTCTTTGATCAGGAACTTCTTTCTGTTGCAGTAGTTAAAACTTAAGGTGTCACGTTTGGAAATACTGATCAGAAAGCTTTGAATTAGGGTTATAAACATGCTGAAACTCATTAGCTACAAGAAACTATAAATTTTATGAGATATTTAAAACAGATTAGTATGAAGATGACAGCTGAAGAGATAAAATTCGACATCAGGCATGGAATGAAGAAAGATTTCAACACATCGTACCAAAAAATAGAAGGCTAGTGAAATGATAATAATTCCTTCCTTGATCTTAGTGCTCACTCTTATTGAGATGGAAGGACCGCAAGACCCACTGATCGTAAACATGCAAAGGTGACCTACGGAGGTTCGTCAGGAGCTTCAGAGTGAGCCTAGGACGAGGAAATGGAGCGGGGGAAAGCCTGATTTTTTACATTTTCAATCTAAATATGATGCAACTACTGAAAGAACCACTTGTTAACAAAATGCCCCTCTGAAGAAGAGGTAACCAGTCACTCAGGTTGCTTCGTAGCATCAAATGAACTGATGAGGTAAATAATCGAAAGTAAAAAAGATCTACTTCCATTTTGTTTCTCGGAATATCTACTAGTTCATGTTTACTTGCCAAAGTATGTACATAGAAAAAGCAAAGAGAGAGAGAAAGATTCTTGAATGTTGTTTTTAAAGTGTTGTGGCAAACGTGAGGCTCGAATATTTAGATGTATTCCACTAGGTAACTGCTGCACACCTGCGTGGCAGTGAGTTTGGTATGAATCTCATGCGATCATTAGGAGTGATTAACAAACAGAAGTACTAAAGTTGATTACATTTGACCAGAGTAACTGTTATCGAACTACTCTAGCTAAAATCTATGAAATCAGATAAAGCCAATTATTTATCGTTCATTATCATGAACTAGTTTCCTTCCCCCCCCTTTTCTGACCCCTTTCTGATGTTCACCTAGCTTACAGCTACAACTCACTGGTCTTCCTAGTTGATTTACATTCAATGAGTACTGTCCAGCCTACCAAGGCCTTAGTAGTCAGGTAGGGTCATTGACTTTTGTACAATAAGTGTGCTTCATAACCTACTACACGAACCTTTAAGTGGCTGCTGATTTGCATTTAAATCGATTTGTCTGATCTTCTATATACGTTCATCCCTTCAGACTTATGTAGTCAATATTGTAATTTTCTCACTTATTTTGTTTACCATACTGGTTTAATTGCAATTTTAGCTGTGTTGAAACTTGACGAAAATTGCTTACTTTAAGAATTTAAGTTACATGAGTCAACAGATGAAGCAAAGTGATGCTGAGGAGTATACGATGAATAGTGGATACACCAACATTTATTCACTAGAAGCGCCTTATTAGTTGCTCCAAATTATCCAATGGCATGACAATAGCAAGTAAATGAGATTAATGGCGATATTATGAACTTGATCAAACAAAGAATCCAGTCAACAATAAAGACTTGATAAAACAGCGTTTATAACCCTTCAGTGACTCGTTAGTATACTCTATCCAATGATACAAAAGATTACTAGTAACGCAAATAACTTAGTTTTAACATCTATGATTGGTTTAAGTGTGTTAGTTGAAATGAATGCTTCCAAAGTTATGGATGAAGTTTACCAACGACTGTCGACAGATACAAAACCAACGTGGGAAATGGTTTCGTATCAGTCCCCTCTAAAATTAACCTTTAAAGCTAGATGCAATATATCATAATATCATATTCGATTTGCTAGTCACAATACATGAAGTTACTACGGTGTATAGTTCAGTTTCGGTGAACATTTGGCAATTAATTTATTACTGATGGACTATCTGTGGTAGGAGTGGTTTGGAAAAAAACTGGTATTATTGATACGGGGGTGATGATTGAAGGTGAAATAAAACTCTGGGACATGGCAGGATTCAAAGTAACTGCTTCTGGATTACTGACCTGGTGCTCCATCAAGTGAGCCACAAGCCATGGGTGTTGACCAGATCTTTCATCCCAACCAATAACTTATGAGGTGAAATCTACGTATCATACATTCATTTAGTAACCGGGTAACTACCTCGGTGACAGAGGTGAGATTAAGACCAGGTAAGCAGGTATTTCTTGTAGATCAGCTAGTAAGGCACTAGGATTGTAATCCAGGGGGTCTACGATTTGTATCCTGATACATCTCAGTTTTGGACCTCAACTTCAGTCATCACCTCATATTCACCTGTTTATTCCTCATTTGATTTGCTACATCTCAACAAAACACTTTTTGTTTACTCTTAAGGCATTTAACATTTTGAGTAGTTTCGTCTTTACTCTTAGACATGGGCTGGTACCATTGAAAATTTCCGGTTATATTATATAAAAGCCATAGGATTTAAATGATGAAAGAAATTGTTATAGTTGTAACCATAGGAACGAGATTCTCAGCCATCCGCTACTAGCCACTCAAAGGTTTTACAATACATGTTTTCAACCCTTAGGTGCAGAATTTTTTCTATTGAGTTTATGAATAAGAAAGTAGGTTATATTTGTTTAGATGAATGAGTATCTTAGGTGACGGTAATTTTAAGAATGTTTAAAACTGATAGTTATATTGTACTGGAAAGATGAACTTATTAGAAAAAATTATTAAAAAAATGAATGGAAATATATTTACAAGAGATTAATATTATATTTACAGGTCCATAATTTAGTGAAATTTCATCATAAATTAATCAGCTAATTTAATGTAAGAATGAAACCAGTTAGGCAATAAGTACTTAACATGTAAAATGTCTAAACAGTAATACCAATAGAAACACTTGATTTTTAGCAGAGTCATGGAGTTCATGTCATCAAGTTAAGTATAGGTTGCCTTATGTCTCTTATAAATTCCCAAAGAAGGGAGACCTAAGTCTTTGCAAGAACTGGCTAGAAATCATGCTCCACTCCTGTCCACCCCAAGCAAAACATTATGCCGTATCATCCTGGAGAGACTAGAGGATGCGCTGGATTCAGGAAGAACTGATCATATGCGGATCAAATTGCAATGCTACGCTACGCATCATCATACAACAGAACCTTATCGACTTTGAAAAGGCCTTCGACAGCGTCAACCGAGAGGTAATTTGGCAGACAGCTGCTTTAACACTACGGTTTTAGTGCCACAAATCTTTATCGACCTCATTCAGCAGCTGTATGAAAACGCCACATGCAAAGTGATCCACAATGGAAAGCTTGGTGATGCCTTTGAAGTGAAGGCCGGAGTAAGACAAGACTGCCTACTATCACCCATGATCCTCCTGATTGTGGTGGACTGGATCATGCAGCGAACCGTAAGGAGCGAGATGTGCATACGCAGGTTGAACCGATGGAAAGACCCCAGAAGTAGATTTGGATTTCGCCTATGGTGATTTATGTCAAATATCTTGTGGCATAAATTCGAAGATGTACAAGTGAAAACTAACAAGTCGACAGAAGAGGCAAGGACTTCAAGTGAAGGTAGAGAAGACGGAGGTGATGAAGATACCCAACCAGCAACAGCATCAACAGCAAGCACCAATCACCATGAACGGGAGAAACCTAAAGGAAGTTATCTCTTTCACCTACCTCTATACCTAAGCAGCATCCTCTCAACTACAGGCGGCACACACAAGGATGTCAAAGACAGTCAGGATCGGAAAGACAGCAAGACAGGCCTACCTTCATTAATCCGAAATTATCAGCGTGGAGATCTATTCCACTCCACTCCATTCCACTCAGCACAAAGTCTGAGCAGGATCCGGATTCCCAACACCAACATCAGTCAAGTCAGTGCTTCTTTGTGATGGTTCAGAAACTTGGCGTGTCATGAAAAGTATTTCCAACAACTACAGACATGCATCATCAACAGCTGCCACCTACGCTCACTCGATACTGAAGATCAGGTATCCAGAATAATAAGAATAAGCAAGGAGGAACTCTGGTTGGCTCTGGCTGACAATCCTCCAACCATGAACTTATCACCTAACGTGTATGCAGAAGAGTGTGGAAGTGGAGATGGATTGGATTGGACTGGGCAAGCACTGAGAAGACCTATTGGGGACATCACGTGTCAGGCTAGGCCGATCCGTCGAGTGGAATTAAAATGGGGAGCGACGAGTTGGATATCCGAGGTGAGGGTGACATGGGGGAGATCATGTGAGGAAGAAATGAAAGCTTGTGTACAGTGGTGAAGCGAGGTTGGAAAGAGTGCAGAGAAGACAGTGGAATGGAGGTGTGCTACTGAATTCCTATGTCCGAATAGGAACCCAAGGGAAAAAAAATAATAATATGTCTCTTATGCTTTCAAAATACTGCCATGGTATTCTGTATACTACATTGTTTGGTACCCATATTATTTGATGTTTACGTTTAAGTCATAATAGTAAGCATAGCTAATGAATGCTACTAAGCGCAGTCCATAAAAAGCCATGGGATCAGATTTTTGCATCTAGGCACCTATAAGGATGACTTTTTAAAAGCACAGGGGAAAGTGTTTACAATCAATGGTTACCTTTCAGTAGTTTGTGAATTCTAGGAAGTTTCCAGGTTAAAACTCTTGCAGTATATAATAAATAATTTTCTCCTAAACTAGAATCAACTTAGTCAAAGCTGACTTACTTTTCAGTGGCATATCATACTTATAAATGTTGAGTGTTGTTGTCGGTAGGTACACTGATGCTTACAGTAATACCCGGTTCTTAGAGTAGCGCAATCTATCATCCAGTAGAAGCTGATGGGTAGGAAGATCTTTTCCCCTTTTTTAAAATAAAATATGAGGACTTCGAAATCTCCTCCCATCGAAACGCATCATTTGCATATCGATTGTTAGATCTCACAAACACATACACACTGAGGCCTATTATTCACAGTTCTACCAAAAGACCCGATTGAACCCTTTCTTTTTGTTCCAGTTGAATTCATGTGGATACACCTAGAATAAACTAGGCCTAGGTAGACAAAAGGAGAAAACTGATCGCTTAAACTAGATAGACATAGTTAACGGGATTTGGTGAAAAATGCATTACGTCTTCCGTTATTCAGCATGAGTGATATATTATACGATACAAAATTCTTACAATACAAATTTTCAATTACTTTGCATTTACTCAAATTATTATGTAGAATTAGAAATAATTTTAATGGTAGTGATAACAACTTACCATGTCTGAGTCACGAAAATAATCAAACATTGGATGATCGGGATCTTGTAAATCCGGTATTCCGTCATTATCATCATCCGTGTCAATATGGTCAGGAATATGATCACCATCCGTATCCTGTAGGACGATTACAAAAAGTATAGGAAGAAAATAACAACTTTCAAAAAAAAAACTTTTGGATAATGATGTTTAGATTCTGTTGCAGTCTAAACTTCAGTTTCTTTTGATGGGTGTTTTGATATCAAGCGAGATGCCATATTCAGTAGATTCACGCGCAACAGAAATAAGTTTATTCAACTCAGAGCCCACTGAAAAAAATGACACACTGTATGCCTGACTAAACAAGCGAAGAAGTATAACAATAAATAATCGAAAAATAACCTGAGAAGTGCAGTTAACTAGGCCTTCGAAAATATTTCGAAAATGTAAATGAATATGTTAATGAGAACAACTGGTTAATATGTGGGTATCTTCAGAAAACACCTCCTTATCTTTTGACGATCAGATAATGAAGGTTTAAAATGTAAAGCATAACTTAGGATGAAAGTTTAGACATCTTATAACTGGATTAGTTTTCATGCGGAATTTTATGACAGAGCAGCAGTAGTTCTAATTACTTTTCCGTCAGAAATCAAAATGAGAAATAATCAGTACAAATAACTGATCATCATCAACAAAGCCAAGGAGCAATAAACGAAGAGAGGATATAACAGAAATGCACAACTTAAATAATGAAAATTCAGCCTAAATAACTGATTTTCGGTATTCCGAAAACGTTAACCAGCAAGTTAGAATCTACTCGCACTAATTAGTGAGTCAGTAGAACAATTGCTTGGGAGATGTAGCATGTTGGTGTGATCACTTTTATATTTTCAACCTTGTTTATCACCTCCGGTTCACGTTGTGTAAAGACAGGCAGTATTTGGAATTTTGAATACCTTAGTGAGTATCTATTCTAACCAGATCAGGTGATCTACCCGTCTTGCATGGATCTGTCACCAGTGGGTAACCAATATAGTCCTTAGTACTCAAGGTTTACCGATGTTTTTGGATTAAGCCTGCTATGCGGCCTCTCAGTTAAGTTACGTATTACCGCCGTGCTGTACTGTATTACGCAGTTAGATGTTAGATGGTAGGAAGCCGTGGATCTAGGTTCTAACCACTGAGAAAGTCCCAATTCCTCCTTCTATATGAGAACTAACAAGCATGAGACTTGGGTCAGGGAGAATTTCCTATCTGTTAACTTCTGAAATTCAACTCCTCTTGACTAAGATCTAAGGCTTGATTTTAGTCAACCTACCCTACTGGATCGTCGTACGGCAGTGCTGATGAAAGAGTACTGATCACTAAACACCTGCATTCCATTCATATCGTCTCCCTTCGACGACCAACCTTTATATCGTTTTCATCAGACAAATTATACTGATACACTACACATTAAACTTTTAGTTGACAATTAGATGCTTTGTTGTGACTTCCAAGGTTGCGTTTAGTGCATTATGCCATTTGAGGTTTCTCTCACATGTAATCAGCACTCACTGTGGCTGACGTAAATACTTCAATTACGAGGAGTGATGTTTAAATTACAAATCCTCAAATATTCATCACAGTGGTTTGAATGTGGCTCTGTAACTTTTCAGAACCGTAGTGATGGGTCTATGCGAACACACTTTTCTTCATACAGATGCTCTGAAAATGCATTTGGTAATATCTTCAGCCAACTGCATACTAGTGGAATGATGTTCTCTGTACATTCCAGAGTGATAACCATTTGATCACTGTATTACGTCACATGGCTGACTGACTGACCAAATCAACGCAGAACCTCGCATGCAGATGCATCGGCTCAAGTTGTCACACTTCAAAGTAGTAGAAAAAGAGCAGGTGGATAGAAAAGGACTGATATAAAAGTAGATAAAGTAGTGTGTTAGAAAATAAACAATCAGAAGATAACGGTTAGTGCGAAAAATCAAACCTTATAAAATGTCAAGGAGTGAATATACATGCTCCATTGTGACCGATGTCTAGCTATGTCACCAAGATTCCTCAACCACTGATTCCTTTGCTCTTGGAGACTCTAACGAGGCAGTCTACATCTCTCCACACGACTCAGACTGCAGACTTAACAGTTACAGACTTCATCGAGTAGTGCAGATTCTTGGTATGGCCACCCTCATTCCTCTTCCAATCCACCCCAGTTTCTCTTAGCATGGCGCATCGAGATAGGCGGGGGCTTATTCGACATGAGTAGTACGTGTCCAAGACATTTCAATCAACTAGAGTTCACAACTTCATCAATCGACTTGCCTATCTTACCTAGTACCCTTCACCTTCAACACTTCTCATGTGGTGATTCCACCAAACTTAGGCAACGCTCTAAAGACATCTATGGTCACAAACCTGTGATCGCTTTGTGTCTACTTTAAACGGCCATGTCTCATAGCCGTACAAAAGGATAGGATGGACTGAAGTATAAAATACCTCGCCAGTCGGCGCCAGAGGTGACGCAAGCTGCCAAATGCCAAACGGATCTTCTATATCTGATCTCAGATTCCGTCAGCGGCCACCCCATTCTAGCTGCTGCAACTCCCCAACTAAGTGAAGTAATCGATACGCTCCTCCATTTCACTCTATATCACTACTCTAGGAGTTCTTGCAGTAGACCAGTACTGGAGCATCATCTTACATTTGACAAGTGACAGCGAAACGCATACCAAACATACTCAGAATTCTGCTCAACGTGTTCGGAACACTCTGTATTCTGTAAGTGTCTTCACTTTAGCCAGCCAGATGACGTCCAGAAAGTAGGTCAACCCCTGTAAAGTCAAACATACCTAAAGTTACTTTTATTAGTATGTCTATGACGAAGTAAAACAGGAAGGGTGACATTATCAGTGTTTAAGACCGATAAGATCAATTCGTCTTCGTGCCTATTCAATGGAAACGTCAACATTCTTTGGAATATGCTAACGAATCCCAAATGGACAGGATATCCATTCCAGATTTTCTTAGTACTTATCAACCAAATAATTTCGATGTCCTTCATTTCGATCAGAAAAGTTAATACTTTAAAAAACATAATTGGTGATCACCTAATTTTCGGTCAACAGCTGTTTGCGTGATTAATGCAATCTACTTCTTAGCCTGAAACTCTAAACTGATACCATGTATTATAAAGTTTATTGTTTTTTTGTATGTAGTGGTAATATGGCAACCAGAAAAAATCGTTACTTCAGAAGAAAATATTTTTCTCTGAAATTGATGACAGGTAGTGGCTAGCAGCGGAACCTGAGACGTGCTTTTCATCGTGTTTGAAACTTGTCAGTTGGGTGTACTTGTTTTCCAGTGAGTGACCTTGTTTCCACCAAGACTCGGACCCAAGACCAATCACTTTGAACGTCAGAGCACTACCCGCTAAGCCAGCGGGTCATGACAACCATTCCTTGTTGGACGAGCATGATACAGTTTGGCTATAACATCAAAACTATATTATACGCGTCATACAATGAGTGGCTACCGTGATTCGGTTGCCCAGTCCACAACGTTATGGCATTTGAAGCAATTGGCTCAGGGTTCGAGTCTTGGTGAGGAAAACATCACTTCCTGAGGGGCAGGTACATCTGTCTGATGAGTGTCAAATAATACGAAACGCGCGTATTGGATCCCACTGCTAACTAGTATCCATCATTTATATCAAAACTGAAAAAGCGGCACTATCGAAGCATCCTCATAAGAGCCCATAAGCCGATAATGGTTGAACAGTTCAGTCAAATGGACGATGGAGAGTTACAAGATATGACAAGAAATATTTTTCTGTTCCACTTATTTCGCAATATCTCTTTCTAGTTTAATGCATTCAATATGAATATTTTAAGCTTTCAAGGTCATCCATAGTTTGGTTAGGCCAATCAAATTACAGAGTATTATACGTCCAGTATAAATACCTAGCAAAACGGGGTGCATGCAGGTGGTCTCATGAGTGACTCATATGTGAAAAAATACAGAATAAACTGTAGCTTTAAAAGAAATGTTGTTTGTTTCTGTGACGAGGTCACGAAAGGTCACTGACTGTCTATCCATCAAGATGACTGAAATAAATGTTAATTAGGGATGTTTTAAGGAAAATAAAACATGGGCTAGACTAGTTAACGCTAGATCATACAATTAACTAAAATGAGTCTCATAATATTAAAACCGTTTCGTCCTTGATATGAAGCACTTAAGCAATTAAGCTTTGTGAGGTACTGGTGTCGAGACAAACAGATTTACATTTTAGGTAGAAGAAATGAATGTAATCTTTGTAAATTTCCAATTTCGAACTTATGAAATGACAACTTCAAAAACGAAAGGATTCTAGACTTATAAATGGTAAGACTTGATTTCCAGAATCAAATTAATCAAGAGTAACGCCAGTGTAATGAATCTTTATTCATGTCTGAAAAAGTTATTTGTTCAATTCAAATTCAACGTTCAAACTATAGAAACTTGATATAGTTGAGAACGTGTGTTGTTTAAAAGTCCCACAGAAGAATATAACAGTTAACCGGTTTTCCCCGATTCTCAGTTTTTCATCAACTAATATTAATTTATGATGACAAGCAATTTCATTATGATGAGTCCTATAAATTAAATGCACCTAGTTCACTGAAACACGTATTGTACAATTTCTTGCAGCCTGTTAAATATTCATTTCAACTATTGCCCTAAACAAGCTGGTAGACGACGTCTTAACATCAAACGGGAGGTTGACATCCATGATGTTATTCAGCTTAACTCAGTGAGAAAGATACTGCACAGTTAGATATCTTTATTTACAAACCTTTCCAGCGATTAATGTAAGAGTAAAACTTGGACACTGTGGTCGATTGTAATTCCGTTTTAGTCTGTTCATTAGAAATATCATACAGTGAAACGGCATCACTTACTGGGTAGAGTTTCGGACACAATTTGTTGTCCATATTCATATCAGGTAACTAATTCCACAACCTTGAGACAGACTTTATATATTCCTAATTTTCTCTCCTTCTCTGTGATGACAAGTGTAGTAGTAGAATTTTCAATATATCTGTGACAGGTGCAGAATCATTTCGGTTGCATATATTTGGTGTGGATTCGATAAACAAAGATTCCGTTATCAATTTCTTCCTCCACCCATCTAGGTTAGTTTTTAACGCTGTCGCTCTATCTCTCCCAACCCTGTAATTGTATGTCATCGCATGCAGAGCTATAACCGAGCTTTTCTTCAGATTTCTTATCTTATTGAGATCTACTAATCTTGATTTAGCTAAGTTTTTGTGCTCTATTATTCTAATCGAGCCTGGTTGACTGCTTTGACTAATGTACTTGACCTCGCAATTATTGCAAGGGATCTGGCAAGCCATATTATTTTGCTGAATTGAATCGATAGGATCGTTTAACCTACAAAGCTTATTTCTAAGCGAGTTTGTTGGTTTAAATGTCACTTTAATCCTAGCCTTATTGAGAATTCTTCGTAATGCTTTTGAAGTGCCTTCCTTGTATGGTAACACATCAGAGGCTTTGAATTCTCTCTTAACCCTGTCGCCATTATTACTATTTGTGGTGGAATTATTATTAATAACAATTGTATTACTACGACTGTCACTGCTTATATTTTTCTTTCAATTTCTTATGAATTTATTTATAAATTTTGGTGGGTAATTATTGAAACGCAGAGTATTCTTGATATATCTAATTTCTTGTCTCAGATTTTCTGATCTACTAGTGAGCTTTTTCGCTCTATTACTTAAGAATTTCCAGCTATGTATAATAAGAAACGACAGGTATCAAATCAAAGGTGCTGAGAATACGTTTACTTGTCTAACACAAAACTTTCGTTTATTCATTTCAGACACTAAACTTTCAGCTAATAAGTGAAAAGTTTGAACCTACTCCTATGTTCTGTGATTTAACTTGCTATAAAAAACATTTTTAACTAGATCGACCTTTCTTTTCAAAGTGAAGTTTTAACAGTACCATTTAAGGGACTTTTTACAGCCGTTTGTAGCTTGTATGCATTTAAGCAACATAGGCAGACTAAGGAAAGGAACTACTTTTGAATAAGACAAGACAACCAAGAAAAAATCATGCTTTTTTTTTACCTTAACTATGCAGTCTGGAATACCATCTCCATTGGAATCAAGATCTTCTGAGTCGGGTATTCCATCATTGTCATCATCATCATCGAATTCATTGAGTACACCATCACGGTCGCTATCCTGGATAAAGTATGAGTGAAAATGACGTTACAATAATTGCAAACATATTTCATCAAATTACAGAAATAAAGAAATAAGAGGAAGGCCTTATGTTAATTTGAAAGGATCTGGTGTTAGCAAATCAGTAGCAATTATTTGGATGACCGGCTTGACTCACGTTTATTAACTGATCCATACTTGGAGATATCAACCTGTGTCACTCCATCCAGTAGTCAGCAAACTCACCTTGGGGTTACTGTGGATTTTTGGATTCTTACTAGTGATGTGCTTCGAGATGAGATTTCCCGAAGTTCCAGTGGGAACGCGTAACCCATAGAGCACAACAAGTCGGGCGTGAGGACAATTACTCAACGGTTAAATTGGATGAAGGTCACACTATGTCATGAATTAGCAGAAGTAGAGTGATGTGCACCGCTGGATTTTGACGCAATGTCTTGATTGGAGCGTGTTCGCCACGAAACCTGGTGGGGTTATGGTGACACACTGTTGGAGTGTCCTATACCAGGATGAAACAGCTGTTCAGTGCTTTGAAGTTTTCAGTTTTTCTCCAACTGATGTCAGTCCATCAAGACTACCAGCTTAAAATTAAAACTATGGCTGTGGAACAGAAGTGAAATGCTTTTCATGATTCGTAGATAAAGTCGATTCACGAAAACAACACCAATGTTTCCCTATTCCGTTATAAATGTTACCCAACTACTCATATCCTTCAGTAGTATGTCACAGGTTTATAATGTTTTCGTTTCAAACACCAGAAAACATTAGTTTCAACTGGGTGGTTCCCAAAAGAATTTTTGTGGACATTAGATTTGGATAGTTGAAAACCATCTCTGTAGTAAAAATTGTCAATACAGATTATTTAGTTTTTAAACAGTTGGCTAAACGTTTGCTCAATCTTACATGCCTGTCAAAATCATACCAATACGCTGTTTACTCACCGTTTTCGGTTGTCTCAACTGTTCACAGGTGTATGATTATTAGGATATATAAAAATGAAGTATTTAGAGTTCCTTTCAAACCCTTTCTATCTGATACAACTCATTCTTGCTACTTTCATGTTTACTTAACTGTGAAGAGAATAAAATCAACAAACTAATGAAGATATTCACAGGTTATTGCCGTTTTACTTGATTGGAACAAAGAAGGTAGACGCCTTTTACTTTATTGACAACCATTTTTGTGTTCATAAATAAACAATAAATTAAAATATGGTTTGCAAGGACGCTAAATTAACAACATCAGCATGACCTCTCTAATGCTTTGGTTATTTTATATCACATACTAGTGAACAAGATGGGTAGTTAAATGCCGATTACATTTATCTTCAGGTTTCGCTAGGTAGATTAACTTAATTTCAACATTAAATGATTATTTTACTCAACTTCAGTGTATCCAAACAAGTTCAGTTCACAGAACTAACTTTTTCAAAGCATCGTGTGTGGTTTCCAACTTTTCACACTGTTCAGTACTATATTTCGTTAGTTCGTGACACAGATTAGTTTTTTTCATCTTGATTAGTTGGTCTTCGACGAGAAATCTGTCAATATCACAGTTGCATAGTTGTGAAACTGATAAGTTGTGCGAAATATCGACTTGAACAGTACAGTTTTCAGATAACATATAAGTGAATCTTCTAACTTCTTATAGCATCTTGAAGGGTCAATTAAGTTGGCAACGAATGAGTATGATATGAGTATGGTATTATTAAGTTTGGTCATTTATAATTTTTATAGTTTCTGTTTATTCACATGGCAGTTATACATTAATTGGACCAAAATAGCACAAATTCATTCATAAAATTCTCACAGTTGGTTTACATACAAACAAAATAAAAAAGATGTAGAACCTGTTAATAGAGTAAACCAACTCAGTTTGTATATTGTTAACAGATTGGAGAGAAGGCTTTTTTTATTTTAGAGTTTAAATCAAGGAGGTTACTACTGAATATATCAAGCCTCGTTGAAATTGTTGATTGAAGGAAGGACTATAAGAATCGGTAACCAACTGATCGCTGATATAGTTTTCAAATTTGAGGTGATAATCTAAACTTATAATATGATTGCCAAACTGAGTTATATAACATTGTAATGCACTGCATTGATGTTAAGGGTCAGCGGGTAAAACGCCTTACACCTTCGTTTTTTCTATGTTGGCGTTCATCACCAAGGTATATGTGCAAACCTTGAGGAAACTGATATCTCCAAGGAAATTCAAATCTACTTCATTCAATGCTGAAGTCATAGACTTTATGATTGACTTGTTAATGATAAAAGCTGACCACATGTAAGAATAGATTATGTATGTGAATTGGAGATGGTATGACAATGGACCTTGTTGTCAAATTGTAAGCAGTCACTACTGACGCAAGACTGTTGATCAAGTCAGCCATGTGAAAGCAATGGTGCATCTTGTCTTGCAGATCACTCAGGGGCCCGACTTCATCTAAGTTAGATGAATCTATGTAATTTTCGGTAAATTTGTCCACTGTGGCAATGACTAACTCGGGATTACATATTTACTGAAGGTTATGAGTGCCCTCCGTTGAAGAGTGACAGTACGCATGAGACCTAGTCTAAGCACGTTTTCTCCAGGTTAGTTTCCAGCATAAAGTAACAGACTTCACCAATCTTAAAATATCCTAAAATTCGTTTTGATTACCACCTAGACATTGCTTTGTATAGCACTTACTTCAAGTGGTAAAGTATTCTGTTACTTACGAAACTAATTCTCTACACATGTCAGTGGAATACATATACTACTTTTATAAAGATGTTTTGATTAATTGACTCTCAGGTCAAAGGAAAGAGTTATATTTATCAGGATATCACGGAAACTTGGACGACTTTCTTGGTTAGTAACGTTTCTGAATAGCAGTAATGATAATAAAAGGTTTCGTCATTCTTGTTACCTTAGAACAACACTACATGGTGTCATTCACTTGTAATCACAAAAGAAGAAAGTACTTCATGGGATAAAAGCCCAAATACAGACACACACACACACATGACATGTGGGAGTGAACCAACATATATGCACTGTAATACGAAGAATATAGAAGAATCAGAGGGAAGGGAGGATAAGTAGAATAAGGAGGTACGTGTCTTTCGCACAGTCACATTCCATCCTTTTCATTGATAAATACACTGTCGGTGATGAAAACTATTATGGTTAGCATAAACACCATCGCTGTCACTACCCATAGTACAAATTACGGCTTTTTTCAACTTATGGTTTGTGTGCGTGTGTGTCAGACTTCAATGGAAAAGACATAGTACATTTCAGCTTGTTAACTATCTTTCTTATTGATCATTTTACTGAAAAAAGAATCACTATATGTCAGTAACTATTTTGGTCAAGTTATTTATTTTACTGCATACAATGCTATAAGTGGAACAGAAAACTGGATTACAGTAGGTGTGAAACTAGCGATTTTTGGGTTACCGATCTGACACTTTACCGTTGAAGTTACAAGACACAGCTGTCAGTCATTGATCCCAAGTCAATTAGACTAACAAGGAGCCAAAAATTCGATGAATGTAAAATGAAAGAACCTAGTAAGACAGGGAGTATGAAGAAAATCTTGTTGATAGCAATGCATGTAATCACACGACAGAATGGGAGAAAATGACAACCGTAAAGATTATCTTAGATGGAAGGCTAGTTGATTGAAGCTTTATTCACTGAATCAGCACTAAACACATGCAATAAGAATAACTCAATACCTATTTTGAATATCTAGAAGATTTGATTACCCCTATCCCAAAGGTATAAGAGGAAACAGATCTGAAAAAAGAGTGTGAAGAATGCGAAGTTACCTCTGGTATGACTACAAACAACAAATTGTTCAGAATTTCATCCTTATAATGATACTATTTTCATTACCTGAAATAGCGAACAAATAAACAAGGATCCAAGATTTTCCAACAAAGCTCTCCATGAGTATTAACTACATTTCCTAATCAAAACAGTCGATGAAGATTCAAAACATCATCAGTCTATCGACTTTGTTCTCATAAACCCCTAAACCTAACCTCTATATTGATCTTTGAATATTTTCACCACATGTAGGTGTTACTATGAATATTTTTGTAGTCAAATGATTGGATTTCTTCCAAATCTTTGGTCCTTAATGACCATACTTCAGAGCCTCAGAATAAGATAGACCAGAAGTCTGGTCTATACAGTACACTGTAATCTAAATAAGCATTAAAATATCTTATCCATATCATAATTGACACCGTTTAGAGGAAATTAACTGAAACTTATGAATCCATAGCAGGACTTCATTCACCACTAATCCACCGAACCTTTCGACACCTTCGATGTAAATGAAGTGTTTAACACATATGACCACTTTATTTCCTATGATTATTAATTAACGAACCTTTTACAAGGGGAGGAACTTCTGTTGAGTTAGGGGAGGAGAGATATAATATGTAAACCATAATTTTACATAAAAGTGGAAAGAGTTAATATCCTGGACGCACACTACTGAACACAGAAGTCTGACCCAATGGTTCACCATAAACTCTAACACAACCACAAGTGTTCAAGAACAATGCTTTCACCTAAGTGGTTTACTTGCCAGATACTCCGTTCAGTGAGACACACTACCATAAGAACTCTCAACCGATGGGCTCAAATACCATAGCGATTAGAGTACAGGTAATTATGCCTGCGTTTCAAGATCTGGTAGACGAGGAAGATTTGGTCGAAACACCAACAGCCAAGTCTGGAACTTACACGATCCCTTGAGTGCACTTCATCAAGGCTTCACTCATAAACCGAATGATAATAGAACATAGAATCTTTCAATACTTATGTCAGACTGCTTCTGTTATTCTTTTATGGAAAATACGATGTTTTTCCAGAAAGATTAATGCATGAAAAATGGAATTATCTTACTGTCTTATAATTTCGCTTTATCTAAAGTTGTATTGATTCGACTGCATTATCATTACTAACCAACCAGGTTATTTTGAATTACTTCACTCACTATT